GGCCAAGGTGGAGAGCAAGGTAAATAGTGTGTCATTTTTTATTGTTGATAATTAACACAAACCAGACATGAAAGTGAAAATTTCTCTGTGCTCAAACGTTTTATATATTTCAGGATGGAGTAAGTCCAAACTTTACTATTCGGGCCCATTTGGATCAGTGTGCACAAAAAAGAGCTGATATTTGTCTAAAGGCTCTTAAAATCCATCTGGGCACAGATAATGTGAGTAAAATACAGATGTTAGTATTTACATTCTCAGTTCACACTAATATCTACAGATCACTCATAATTGGTTCTGTCTTTCTACAGGTATTAATGTTTACATCTGAGGGAAAAGTTCAACAGAATATGGAGGACATCAGTTTGCCATATTACTCAGGTGGGTCTGATGAGAAGCAAGCTTTAATTGAGCTCCTTTTTTCAGGAATGGACTTTCTATTTGTGTAACATCAGGTGATTTTTCTGACATTATTTACAGGGGACATCAGAATATTTCATGCTTCATCCTTTCATATCTTGCTCAACGCCAAGTTTGGCCTCCAAATTCAGATCCAGCGTGTTCCTGTGATGCAAGTCTACATCAGTCTGGAAAGCAGCTACAAAGAAAAGACAAGTGGTGAGTTTTATGTTTTCCTCTAATTTAGCCAACTTCCTTTATAGACCATATGTTATATGATAATCAGAACCAGACAGGGTTCTTATGCAGTCAGGAATTACATGGGAAAGAGTAGCATTTCATTTCAGTGTTTAAAGATTGTGGGAATGTATGGAAAAAATAGAAGGATGGAAAAATATTTGTACTCTTAGACTATTCTTTTTAAAAGAATAGTCTACTCTTGTATAAGAATTGTTTTTGTCTTTGTTTTTGTCTATTAAAAGAATAGTCTACTCTTGTATAAGAATTGTTTTTGTCTTTGTACCCTCCCTTTTTTCTTGTATCCTTTCTTCATTTCTTCTCTCTATCCTTTCTTTTTTCTTTTCTTGTTTACTTTGTTTCTGTAGTTCAATTCTTAACTCCTTGGGTCTGTCCTTCCATCCTACATCTTTCACTCCGTTCTTCCTTTTCTTCCATCTAACTAGTGTTAACTTTGTTTTATCAATCTATAAAAAACTATATATAAGACATTTCTGTACTGTCAAGAGAAAAAAAACTTAGATAACTGGGTTTTATCTGAGATAAAAGAAAATATTCCAGAGAGGAGGTGATACAAAAAAATTACGGAAATGTGATGGAGTTTGGACACTTTGGTGACTTATTGTTGTTCTGAACATGTTCCTCAGGTTTATGTGGAAACTACAACATGGCTTTGAATGATGACATGACGTCTCCTCAAGGGAGCCAAGAAGGAACTGCAGTGACATTTGGTAACTCGTGGAAGGCCGACCACACATGCCCAGATGCAGGCAGAATACTTTCAGACCCCTGTTCCATCAGCATGGAAATTGGTAAAAAATAAATTTAACAATGTTATTTTTTTCCAGCCAATTGAAAACCAATGTGATCATCTGTTTAACAATATAGCTTTTCTTTTTTCTTGCTTTGTGAGTATATATATTTAATTTGTATTCAGTATATTCCAGGTTACTGGAAGTGTAAAAATATTTGTACATTTTATTATAGAGAATTATGCCAGACACTGGTGCGAAATGCTCAGAAATCCAAATGGTACATTTGCAAATTGCCATTCAGAGGTGAATCCTGAATATTACTACAAGGTACAACAACAACCTCTTCTTTCAGATTTTAATTCTGTTTTATTGGACTATAATTTTGTTAAAGTGTTCTTTTCTCTGCAGCGCTGCCTTTACTCCACCTGCAGCTGTGAGAAAAGCGAGGACTGCTTATGTGCTGTCTTCACCTCTTATGGTCGAGCTTGTGCAGCAAAGGGAAAGTTTGTGACAGATTTTGGAGACCAATGTGGTAATGTGTCTTTAAGTTTCATGACAACACATTAACCGTCATATGTAAGTCTTGCAACTGTCAGGTAATCTTCCCACATTATCCACAAAACAGAGAAACACACAAAGAGCTGTCCATCAACTCAGATCTTCACTTACAATCACCGGAGATGCCAGCTGACTTGTAGTTCACTGAGCACAGATCAGCGGAGCTGCACTTCACATTTCTTGCCTGTGGTTGGCTGTTTCTGCCCTGATGGTCTCTATCTGAATGAAAAAGACACTTGTGTACCCAAAGAAGAATGTTCCTGTTCCCATAATGAAGATTACATTGAAGCAGGAAAGTCTGTCAACTTCAAATCTGAGCACTGGTGAGTCAGAAGAAACTTTAAGTAGCGGCTAAATTTTCGTCCAGCATGAATAAAATGGTTGTAACTTGAACAGCATGTCTATTTCATCGTATGAATTTGATTCTTTTTCCAAGTGTGTGTGCCAATGGAAGGCTTCATTGCCATTCCCGGGGAAACCAGAATGTAGGTAGGTAATTGGGGCTCTCATTTCTTTACTTTCCAATAACATTGATACTGAGTTGACACGGTGTATGTTGAGAGCATTTCTTCTGTTTACAGAATGTCCTCATCCAAAAGTGTACTTCAACTGCTCCACTGGCAGAGCTTTTAACCACAGACCACACTGTGTTCGACGTTGTTTGAATCTGGATGATGATGCTTGTGTGAGTTGTTGTCTTGTTGATCTTTGATGAGATCATCTCCTGATTATTTTGATGTGGATTAATAGTCCAACTTCTTAGGGACAATACTGTTTCCCTCAGTAAAAACTGTTATAATGTATCCATGATTAAAACTCTTATTTTGAAGTATTTTGCTTTTTTCTACTGTTAAATGTTTGAGATTATCACATGCATTTTTATATCAGACAAACAGGACCTTAGTTTATAAGTAATTTTTTTCTTCAGTTCTTAACTAGGGGGCCCAGTGTCTTCAAACCCACAAATCAATACTTTCATACGGCCAAAACTGGTGGGACTCTGAAGAGTTGTCTTTGTTGATATACCATTAACCACTTGAGAAAGTAGATCTGATTCAATATTGACTGAGATAGTCTAATTCCATGAAATGATGCCTACAGTGAAAACTGAGAATGATTAATTGCTGTGTATTGACTTGATGACTCTACATTTCCTTCCCAGGATGCATCAGAATGTGTATCTGGCTGCATGTGTCCTCCTGGCCAGTTTGATGATGGTAAAGGCTCATGTGTGAAAAAGACAGAGGATTGTCCATGCAAGCACAATGGTCAATTATATAAGCCTGGAGACAGAGTTTACCAAGATTGTAACCGCTGGTAAAAAAATAAATTAAAAATAAATAAATAAATAAATAAATAAATAAATAAATAAATAAATAAATAAATAAATAAATAAATAAAAATATTTATGCAGTTTGTGCTGCATTATATAAAAAAACATTTTGTTGAAAATTTAAAATTTGAAGATAATACATTTATTTTGTTTTGCTTTTACTCTACCTATTTAGTACTTGTCGAGATGGGAAGTGGACATGTACATCACATGACTGTTCACAGAGCTGCATTATTTATGGAAGTGGACATCACAGAACGTTTGATAATCAGTTTTATGAGTTTCAAGGAGACTGTTCCTATGTTGCTGTCAAGGTAAGTTTATACAAAAAACACAACATATTTTCAAAGCTGTGGTTTAATTATTATTAAAACTCTTCTTTTTCTATGAAATGGCTAATGTGCAATAACAAAACACAATAGGAATTTGAATGTAAATGTACATTCAAATTTGAATGTAGCTTTACATTCAAATAAGAATTGAATATTCCTATTTGAATAGGGTGTAAGCTAGGGTGAAAAAGCTTACACCCTAAGCTTTTTCACATCTTTGTCAGATTACATCCACAAATGTCATTGAAATTTATTTTCCCTTTTTAGAGATATGTAAGTAGAGTGCTAAACACATTTACACAAATCACCCTTCAGATTGTTATTCACAACATACAACCAGCAATATGTACTTTTACTTTTACTTCACAATTATGAGCTTGTTTGTTTGCAGTGGACGGTCAGACAAAATCATATCAAAGTAGATTGATGTTTGCAGTTGTAATGTAACACAATTATGAAAAGTTATTGTTTTTGTCTTGCACTGTATAAATGCTTCAGCCTCACTGACACCTTGAGGCCATTGTGACGCAAAAATGAAGGTTCAAAGTTAATAATAAAAACACTAAATAAAATCTTAAATCTATTTATCTAAACGTATAGCTACCTTTAGATAAATAGGTACTTTTACTAAATAGGTAAAAAAAAAAGTACTTGGTAAGATGCAAAGAATGCCATCAAATAATTACTCTGGACTTCTGAGAAGTACTCCGACTACTTTGTCCATGTTAACAAAGTAATATCTTTAGAGACTGTATGTTGGATGAGCATGTAAGATTTTTCCAAAGGGTAAATGCTAGGAATTCTTGAAGCATAAATATTCTTTACGGTAAAGAATATTTATTGACAGTAAGGTCAAAACATATGTTCTGCTCTGTCAGACAAACTAATGCAAACGATGCACTTGTTGCAAAGCAAGAATACTTTCTAGAGTTTCATAATGTATAATTTTTCAGTACTAATGGAAACTAATTTAAAACATTTATTTGTTTAGAACAAATGTTCTAATAAAACAGTAGAGAATGAAATTGAAGTCATCACAGAAGATGAACCATGTGGATCAACGGGGACAACATGTTCTAAAACTGTCAGGATTCAGCTTGGGGTAAGGCAAAGAACTCAAATAATAATAAATATTGTGTTAGAATGGTGTTCATGATTTACAAAGAGTGAAATCTTCTCTATATTTCAGAAATATGTGATCATCCTCACAGATGGCACTGTTAAAGAGGAAGTTTCGGAAAATTGCACCAATAAACCATATGAAATAATAAATCGAGGGTTCTATCTTATAGTACATTCCGACTTTGGTCTACAAGTGATTTGGGATCGCAAAACATATTTTGTTATCAAACTGGAACCAGATTACAAGGTACGTCACAGTAATTGATTTCTGGGTAAGAGATGGATATTTTCTTTTCAACTAACTTCAATGGTGAGTCTCAGCAATTGATTATGAGAACAAACTACAAACTTGGCAATGTTGAGGCTAATATTAAAACATGGTATAAGATATGCCAATGACTGACTTGTTTATGTTTGTGCAGGGCGAAGTGTGTGGCCTGTGTGGAAACTTTGATGGCAATGGAGAGAACGACTTCACCACCCGGAGTGGGTTGGTCGTGAGCAGCCCACTAGAGTTTGCAAACAGCTGGAAAGGGGACAGCTCTTGCTCAGATGTGGATAATCTTGTTGATGCTTGTGAAAAAGCACATCATCGAGACCACTGGGCAAAAATGAAGTGCAACATCATAAATGGAGACACATTCAAAGAATGCCACTCTAAGGTAGTGCAATGGTTGCTCTTGCAATGAAAATGTTACACATGAAGTATTAGAGACAAAAAAGACATATGATTTTCAATGCCTAAACAGGTAGAACCCACTCCATTCTATGAAAAATGTGTGAAAGACACATGTGCCTGTGACACTGGAGGGGACTGCGAGTGTTTCTGTTCAGCTGTTGCAGCTTACGCTCAAGCTTGCAATGATGCTGGTGTTTGCGTTTCATGGAGAACTCCGGAAATCTGTCGTAAGTGAATAATTTTCTTCTTGTACTATTATATAAAAATCTGGGTGTTTTTCTTAGTCTGTTGCAAAGTTTAATCTTCAAGGTGGTATTTTCATGAGCTGTAATCAGAAATCCACTTACTGACATAAAACTTTAGTAAGTGTGCAGTTAAGTTATGATGAGTTTATTACATTTATTGAATGTATTTATTGATTTGTGATTATAAATTTTCTTGGTTATTCAGGATAAAAGAT